TATAATCAAATATTTGACCCACTGGGCTCTTCCAACTTTATGGTAATATGAGTATAACTCTCAGATGAGGAGAGCACGTATTTTAATTATTTCAAACAGCCTCCAATCCCTTCCACCCAGCAATAAAACAGAACAAATTGAACTGAAACCAATTTCCATGAGTTTTTATTTTCTATATGGGTGGATTCTGTAAAATTGTTTTGAGGAGTATTTGGTCATACAACACCCATCTGCAATCTGAAATGGTTTAGCTCAGGATCAGACTTATCTCCTGATCTGTTGAGTTTCAATGTGATAAACTGTATGAGATGAGAATTAGAGCTACAGAAATTCTTTCTACCTTCAAACTATAAAAAAGGTGAAAGGTCTGGACTTCATTGTTCTGTTTACCTATAGAGGTGGCACTGGAATTGGAAAAAATAATGAGTAGGTCACTCACCCATTGTCATAAATGTAAAAAAACACAAAACAGTATTTTTTACTTTGTTCTATTCTGAATAAGTATCTCATATCTAACAAATTAATCTGAAAATTATTTAGTTTGCTTTAGAACCAAAAGAACAGGAACACAAAGAAAAAGAAGTCAGTATTAATTAAGAAACAAGATAATGCACATGTATAATTTTTTAAAGAAATTGCAATGTAATGATTATGATCACACAGTCATGCAATTAAGCTAACAGGAAAGTACGTGCTGATAAACAGAGAATATTGCTAAAGAGAAGACTGATTAACATCGGCACTAATTCTGATTTTAATTGGTTTGCAAATTAATAGGAGAAAAGCAACTATTAGCCATGCAGATGGTTAACTTGCTGATCAGTTTGTTTGTTTTTTTTAGTTTTTAAGTCTGAAGAATAATTGATCCTATCGTTTTATGAGTCGGCAATTTCCTTTAGAAAATGTGTATCTATGCAATTGCCCAAGTTCGTCATTTGAATATCACCTTTTCACCCCTATTTCAGTCATATGCAGGTTACTTATTTTGGGTAAGCATATTTTGTTCAGGAAAAAAAAAACTCTTTCCAAATTTGGAAGCACGTGAATATCAAATAATACTTGTGTACTGATTTATGTACCAATACAAATACTTTGCATTAAAAATGTTTCAGTTGAAACAAATTAAACACATTTTCTCCATGTCTACCGTATTTCCTAGGATTGTGTGCTTCCAGCACCACAGTCACAATTATAGATGAGAAGGTCAAAATACTGTTGGGAAATGAATATAACATTGCAAATCCCAAGATATTCCTACTTGCTTGAGTAGGAACAAGGTAATCCCAAAGGGCCAAAGGTTCAGAGAGAACATTACAGTATGTATTATACTTGTACTCAGTGCTTATTTTCTTAAAAAAAAAAAAAGGTGCCGGAACTCACACACGTCATACAACCCGCCTTGCCTACCCTACAAGTTTCCATCCAAAAAAGGTGCCGGAACTCCATTCTGGGCGTTCAATGACAAAAAAAGCCCTGCTTGTACTTAATTGTTTTTTTTAGTTTTATTGCGTCAAACTAATTCAAAGAAAGAAAGGAAAAATATATAGACCATAGAGTTAACAACAACAAAAAACTATAACATGTGTAAAGAAGAAAAGGAAGAAAAGAAAAAACAGGGAGATTTTATCTTATGCATTGTATCCCTCACCTATACTCATCAGTCTTTAGTATCTTTCCTATTTTAGCTATGAAGAATGGGGGTAAGTCTTTTCAGAATTTCTGACCAAATAATATTAATTAAAAATAATAATTACAGAATTAAGAAAAATTGTACAATGAAATGCATCACGTGAGGTGTTAATACCACTTTATAATGTCTTGGTAAGACCACGCTTGGAATACTGCATCCAGTTATATCGGTCGCCATAATATAAAAAAGATGCTGAGACTCTAGAAAGAGTGTAGAGGAGGGCAACAAAGATGATCAGGGGACTGGAGGCTAAAACATACAAAGAACGGTTGCAGGAATTGGGCATGTCTAGTTTAATGAAGAGAAAGACGAGGGGTGGCATGATAGCAGTGTCCCACTATCTAAGGGGCTGCCACAAAGAAGCTGGAGGTCAACCTATTCTCCAAAGCCCCTGAAGGCAGGACAAAAAGCAATGGATGGAAACTAATGAAGGAGAGAAGCAACCTGGAACTAAGGAGAAATTTCCTGATAGTGAGAACAATTAATCAGTGGAACCATTTGCCTTCAAAAATTTGTGGGTGTCTAGTTCAAGATGTATGGAAAGAGAATTACAGTGGAAGGTCATTTCATATATTCTAGACAGGAAGTTTGGGTTTGTTGCCAAGTTAAGCAATGGGGGATCCTTAAGAGGTATGTTTGTACAGGTAGTCCTTGACGTATGACCCAAATTAAGCCCAAAATTTCTGTAGCTATGCAAGACAATTGTTAAGTGAATTTTGCCCCATTTTATGATCTCCCTTGAATCGCTGCAATTGTTACCTTAGTAACACAGTTTGTGAAGTGAATATGGCTTCCCCTTTGACCTTGCTTGTCAGAAGGTTGCAAAAGGTGATCACCTTTTGATCCAGAGACCTTGCCAACCGTCATAAATACCTGCAAGTTACCAAGCATTCAAATTTTGATCAGGTGACCATGGAGCTGCTGCAATGGTCATGTGAAAAATAATCATAAGTCACTTTTTTCAGTGCCATTGTAACTGTAATCGGTCACTAAATGAATGGTTATAAGTCAACGACTACCTGTACAGGGAATACATTACAAAATATATGGGTGTTTTGCTGCACTGAGGACCCAGATTGTTGGGGACAATATGCTGACACTGTAAACTGCTTAGACAGTGCTGTAAAGCACTATAAAGCAGTATATAAGTCTAAGTGCTATTGCTATTTTGTGTATGTTTGTGTGCTAGATTATTCTGCGAAGAATACTGAAATGTGTTATCAGTGATGAAAGGAAGTTCTTCTTGGACCTAGAAAGACAGCCTGTCCTTTTTCTTCCCCTACATGGGTCATAAAAAGAATTGAATAGCCATTTCTAAGCATCTCTCAAAAGCCATTGTCTTAACCAGTATAGTTAATAATGAACATTTATTACTAAATAGTCCCAAGGTCAGAGAAAGCCATCATTATGACCAACAAAGTTACCTCTTCTTGACTGAGAGTTTATCATGCTAGAATCCTAATGACTCCATCAAAGGCATCCTTCTGAGATGTTCTACCTAAATTAGCGTCCAAGTTATAATGGCCTTCCATCAGTGAGACATAATTGGCAATTCTGAAGCAGCACAAAACCTGTATCTCTAACTTTCCTCTCTCTCTTTTTTTTTAAAGGATATCCTTTTGCTTCAGATTTTGCCGGGGTCACTGGAGAAAATAATTGCTTTTGTTCAAGGAATATGAAATAATTTTTCCACAGATGCCCCTATAGCCTTAAAGAAATTCCTTCCACCATGCAGCTAAGGAGTTAATATACTTTCCTGACCTCTCCACCTTTGTCCACAGTTGGTGTCAACATAGTTAAAGCGTACCTTACCAAGTACACCTTGCTGAAAATAATGCCTGTTGTAGAACTCTTTAAGAAGATAAAGTCAGTTGAAATGACCCATATTACTTTATGGGCAATTTATAACATATTTGGAGACCCAGATGGCTTAAAGGTCCCACATTTATGCACCCAAAGTCAATGCAGAAGACTAAAGGCTTTATAGACCTCCTATGCACAATGGGAAATTCAGTTTATACCAAGAAGGCAAAGTTTTCCACCAATGTATGAGAAACAATTGGTTTACAAAACCTTGGGGAAAGGTTGGACCTTTAATGAAAGAACAGATTTCCTCTGCATGCAGGAAGTCCAAAAATCAATCATCACCAGATTCACAGAATGACTCTGATCTGAAATCCTGGAGAGACAGTATAAAGCACAACGAGTTATTCAGACTAGAGCCAAATGTCTACCCAAGTTTGCAGTCAACAAGCAAAACCTGCACATAATCTACAAATAGCCAGATGTTGAAGCCAGATGTTCTTATGAACAATCCAGGTATAACTAGAAGCCAATTCAGAAATCAGGAAGACAAGCTAAAGCGAAATCTGAGATTCTGGAAGCCAAGGAAATGGGAGAATGATATAGGTAAGAAAGATGGTGGTTGGTTCTAGCTATTGAGTGAGGTATGATATGTTCATCTTTGACACTTTTAGAATAGAATAGAGCTGGAAGGGACCTTGGAGGTCTTCTAGTCCAGCCCCCTGCTCAAGCAGGAGAACCTATACCGTATCAGACAGGTGAATGTCTAGTCTCTTCTTAAAAATCTCCGCTGATGGAACGCCCATGATTTCTGGGGGTAAGCTGTTGCACTGGTTGATTGTCCTCACTGTCAGGAAGTTTCTCCTTAATTCAAGGTTGTTTCTCTCTTTGATCAGTTTCCAGCCATTGTTTCTTGTCCTTCCCTCTGGTGCGTTGGTGAACAACTGGCCCCCTCTGCCTTGTGGCAGCCCCTCAGATACTGGAACGTTTGATATATTCATCTTTGGCATTTATGATACATTTATCTTTGACCCTTCTCTTGTTCTGCCTTTATTGCCGCTTGTTGTAATTTGGTTAAGTTCAGGAAGTCTACTTCCCCCATTTAATTGGATTCAGAGGCTCTATCTCTGACTATCAACACAGATATATGTTTGCTTTCATGGACTTGGAAGTGTTCAAATTCAAATTCTTCCTCCCTTCGATCATCTGGGCTGATCTGAATTGAACTGATCTGAAATAAATGTACTAGCATACATACATAAACACATGTGCACAATTTTGTCTATGTATTACAGGTATCTTTATGGTTATTCATTCAACATGGAAGTGTGTGCATATATGTATATCTATACAGAATTTCTTATTAGAGAATTTCTAGACCTTAAGAACTTTGCATTCAATGTTTACTTATGACTGAGATGTGCTTGAAATTGCCAGAGAAGGGAGGGAGGGAGGAAAGGAAGGAAGGATGGGAAAAATAGACATAAGAAGAGAAGTACAAACTTACATGGTAGGATGCTCTTTCTTCTCTGTCCATTGGACGGGTCACGTACATTCTCCCTGACACGGGGTCAATGTTGAAGACTTCCATAGGTGGCTGGTCAGCTCCCACCCCTGTGATGCTGTATCTTATATGAATCTCACTGTCTTTATCTGAACGAATCTGAATTAAACATTAAAGAAAAGAATGAATCAGCATGGAATGCAAGCCGAAGGGAAAAAAATGCTTGCAGTGACAATTTTTTTAATTTATCATTACATTTATTTGCCAACCATCCCATGGATCATTCACATCCATTGTCCAAGAGACCATTACATTGTCAAGATGGGGGGAAAGGATTAACAGCTTCATCTCTCAATAATTCTATACCAGTTTTGATAGATGCCTACTCCTGAAGAAAATGCCCACCTTTGGATGGTTTTAGGATAGTCTCCGCATCATAAGTTCCATGAGACATGTAACATATGCTGGGCATTTAAATATATCAGTTGCAGAGTGAAAGTTTCTTTCTAATGTTCTCTTCCTGTCCTGGGCTTACATAGCAGAATAACAGAGTTGGAAGGGACTTTGGAGGCCTTCTAGTCCAACCACCTGCTCAAGCAGGAGACCCTATAATATTTCAGACAAATGGTTGTCTAGTTTCTTCTTAAAAGCCTCCAGTGATGGAGCACCCACAACTTCTGAAGGCAAGCTGTTCCACTGGGTAATTGTTTTCACTCTCAGGAAATTTCTACTTAGTTCTAGGTAGCTTCACCTCTTGATTAGTTTCCATCCATTGCTTCTTGTATTGCCTTCTGGTGCTTTGGAAAATAGTTTGACCCCCCCTTTTTTGTATTTTAGTAACTGCCCCTCTTCAAGGTCATCTCCGCAATCTCAGAGTAACCTTTAATATCCCTTGCTTGCCTTTGATTACCCAATCCCCATTTAAAATAGATAGGCTGACAGACAGACAGACAGATAGATTACAGATAGGCAGGCAGGCAGGCAGGCAGGCAGGCAGGCAGACAGGCAGGCAGACAAATTACAGGTAGATAGGTAGATAGATAGATAGATAGATAGATAGATGTAGGTAGGTAGGTAGGTAGGTAGGTAGGTAGGTAGGTAGATAGGCAGGCAGGCAGGCAGGCAGGCAGGCAGGCAGGCAGGCAGGCAGGCAGGCAGGCAGGCAGGCAGACAGACAGACAGATAACCTTGTCATTTTTTACTGTGGGCACAATGGCACACATTAAAAATTAAATTTAGCTGCTTCCTCTCAATGTGTACACATACATAGCACACATTTAAACATACTATATACAACATATGTATAGACCTACACCCTTACATATAAGTATAATATAAATATTAATCACTGTCCATCTTGAATACATAACGGAAGGAGGAAACTTTAGAGTTCACAAGGCTGATACTGTATGGAGCAAAACTGACTGAATCTGGATGTTCTGCTTCGGATACCACGAAGCCCCCTCCTCTCAGAAGGTAACAAGGAAAACAGGTCGTGGAGTGGATATGTAGCATCTGAGACAATCTTGCGGACCCTGCTCAAGTAACGCTTATGTGCCATGTCCTGGATGGAAGGGATGGAACTGCCAATAATCTTTTCAGCCATCCTCACCACTCTCTGCACCGCTTTCCAGTCCAAAGCAGGGATGCTTCTAAACCAGACTGTGATGCTATATGACAGGATGCTCTCGATCGTGCCTCTGTAGAAAGTGGCAAGGACAGGGGAAGGAAGATGTGCTTTTCTCATGCAACACAGAAAATGCAGGCGCTGCTGTGCCCGCTTCACCAGTGTCTCACAGTTAAGCGACCAAGACAGCCTACTTGTTAACTGCACACCCAGGAATTTGATGCTGGTAACCATCTCCACAGGTGAAACATTAATGCATAGAGGAGTATGGCTGTGCCTGCCTTTTCTGAAATCAACAATAATCTCTTTGGTTTTTCCAATGTTTAAAATAATCCAAGCTTATGGGGTCATTATTACACCGCATAGCAATGATTTTCACAGAGTCACTATGCGAACTCTATAGTCTGTTTTAAATTTCTTCTCCCTTCATTCATTCATTCATTCATTTATTCGATTTGTATCCCGCCCTTCTCCCGAGGGACTCAGGGCGGCTCACAACATATTTAAAACAGAAACATGCCCACAATCCCCGCCAAATAAAACCAATTAAAACCCAAATATTTTAAAGTTGTGGTATTTAAAATTTTCTAAAAATGAACCC